GGCCAGTGTAGTTGATCAGTTCCCCTATAGTGCATGTGTTTGGACTGTGGGGGAAACCGGAGCACCCGGAGGAAACCCACACCAACACGGGGAGAACATGCAAACTCCACACAGAAACGCCAACTGACCCAGCCGAGACTCAAACCAGAGACCTTCTTGCTGTGAGGCGATCGTGTTACCCACTGCGCCACTTTGATTCTTGCACACACTCACATGGTCAGCAATATATAGACACATCATGTGTTAAATTTTGTGTAGCAGTACCAATAATAACCCACTCACTAAATCCACCGAGTCACTTACATCCACAATATCCAGCATTGGTGTTTAGACGTTATATTTGCCAATCACAGCTCAGAAAAGAACTGAATCCTCCAGTAACCCTGAAGCTCTCTAAGCTCTGCAGCTGGATTAAACTCACTATAGTCGAGTCCACTGGAGTAGAACAGAGGAGGAAAACCTCCACTAACCCAGAGCCTGATCTTCACAGAGGACTAATCCTGCGCTCATCTCGGGATCACCGTAATTATCATTTCCTGCTAGTAAAACACGCTCAGGACTTTGCTGGATTTGTAATTACAAGCTAGAAATGCTTCACGTTCCCATAAAACCGCCACAGCGGAGGAAACTATTACCAGCGCAGATCTACATTTAGTGTAGTTCACTCGTCCAGTAATTAAAACACAATTAAACCAAAGACTAATATTCCCCAACAGAACTAGTCCTGCCGTCATGACAGACTTACTTTCCTCAAAGGAAATCATAACGAAAATTAAAGCAACGCACTACTTTCCTTACAAGAAAAAGTAACGAAAAGTAATGCAACACATTACTTTCTTTGAATGAAAGAGTAACGAAAAGTAACATAAAGCATCACTTTCCTTAAATAAAGAAGTAACGAAAAGTAATGTAATGCATCGCTTAAATGAAAAATAACAAAAATAATGAAGGCATTACATTTAAAGTAAATTTAATGTAAAGGCATTACATTCCTTAATTGAAAGAGTAACGAAAAGTAACGGAACGCATCACTTTCCTTAAATAAAAAAGTTATGAAAGCTAACATAATGCATTACTTTCCTTAAACGAAATAGTAGTGAAAATTTACTTACCGCATTACTTTCTTTAAATAAAAAAGTATCGAAAAGTAACGTAACGCATAACTTTTCTTGAATGAAAAAGTATTGAAAAGTAACAAAACGCATCACTTTTCTTAGATGAAAATTAACGAAAAGTAACGTCACGCATTACTTTCCTTAAATGAAAAAGTAATGAAAACTAATGTTACGCATGACTTTCCTTAAAAAAAATTATGAAAAGTAAGGCAACGCATTACTTTCCTTAAATGAAAAAGTAATGAAAATTAATGTAAGGCATCACTTTCCTTAAAAGAAATAGTAATGAAAAAGTAACGTAATGCATTACTTTTCTTAAATGAAAAAGTTATGAAAATTTACGCAACGCATTACTTACCTTAAATAAAAAAAGCTATGAAAGTAACGTAAGGCATTACTTTCCTTAAATGTAAAAGTAATGAAAAGTAACGCAACGCATTCATTTGCTTAAATAGAAATTTAACAAAAAATAAACGCAATGCATCACTTTTCTTAAATGAAAAGTAACGAAAAGTAACATAACACTGCCTTTTTATTACCTTTTTTAAATGCTAAAAACGTTACATAGTTAAAAAGGAACTAACACTTCTAGCTATGTTTAAAGAACTAACGCAACACTTTGTAACATACAGTACCACTTTAAATAGTAACCCTGCACTCACCAGTCCAGTGCAGAGGCTGAAGACGGCGTGATGTTCCCTGCGTGCGTTTACGTGTCCTCTAAAGAAGCAATGGTGCAGATCTGCATCATCTCCACGATTCTCCTGCTCTCCCAGATGCACAACACTGTAGGACGGAGCCATAAACCCGGAGTCTGCCGTGAGGTTGAGGTAAAAGGCCTGACCGAAGGCCTCAATGCGGTAATGAGCCCTAGAGGCAGAGGGATCTGTGTCTGCACTGCGCCTCCTCCGCCGGTAATGCAGCCGCTGTGGAAACGAGTCTCCGAAATCATTCAAGCGCACCGGAGTGATGATCTCATATGCCGACAGCTGCCGGATGAAGCTCTCTGAAAAACAAACACAATACAAAAGATACACATTACTTGAAAAAGGAAAAAAGTAATGCAAAAGTAGCACAACATATTATTTTCTTAATGAAAAAGTGACGCAACATTGTAACACAACACCTTTTAAAAGCAATGCAAAAGTAACACGTTAATTGAAAAATTAAAAAGTAGCGCAACATAATTTCTTAAGTGAAAAAGTAACGCAACATTGTAACAACACTTTTAAAAACGATGCAAAAGTAACACAATACTTCAAAAAGGAAAAGTAACGCAACATATTTCCTTAAGTAAAAACGTAATGCAATATTGTAACAACACTTTTAAAAACAATTTAAAGTAACGCAAAATAACGCAACATATTATTTCCATAAGTGAAAACGTAAAACAACATTGTAACAACACTTTTAGAAAACAATGCAAAAGTAACGCAAAATAACCCAACATTATTTCCATAAGTGAAAACGTAACGCAACATTGTAACAACACTTTAAAAAAAAACAATGCAAAAGTAACGCAAAATAATGCAACATATTATTTCCATAAGTGAAAACATAATGCAACATTGTAACAACACTTTTAAAAGCAAAAAGCAAAAGTAACAATACTTCGAAATGAACAAGTAACGCAACATATTTCCTTAAGTAAAAACACAACGGAACATTGTAACAACACTTTTAAAAGCAATGGGAAAGTATCCTACAAAAATGCAACATATTATTTCCATAAGAGAAAAAGTAGCGCAACATTATTTTCTTCAGTGAAAACGTAATGCAACATTGTAACAACACTTTTAAAAGCAATGCAAAAGTAACACATGTAAAAAATTAAAAAGTAACACAAAAGTAGCGCAACATTATTTTCTTAATTAAAAAAGTAACGCAAAAGTAATGTATGTACGCAAAAAATAACAATTCCACTTCTGTATCATTTTTTTTAAACCTTTACGAGTTTCTGAAGTTTCTTTTTTATTTTAAATAACCAGTAACCATTGACCTGCATAGTTGAAAAAACTATTACTAATGAAGTCAATGGTTACTGGTTTTTAGCTTTCCTTGAGAGAGAATAAATAGTGAGCAAATGTTCATTTTAGGGTGAACTGACCCTTTAAGTTAAAACCATAGAAGACATGTTCAGCACTTCAAAGCAAAGTAAAGGGATAGTTCACTCTAAAATGTCCATTCCGCCATTATTTACCGTCCCTTGTTCCTGTTTGAGTTGCTTTATTCTTAAGATATCTTGAAGAAAGCTGAAAAACGGTAACCATTGACCTCCATAGCAAATAGTGAGTAAATGTTTATTTTTGGTTTAGCTGTTTCTTTAAGTTAAAACATAGTCAACACTTTCAGCAAAGATCATTTAAGAGATCAAAAATCACTCAAAATGCTAATTCTGTCATTATATTTACCCTCCCTTTCACTTGTTCAAAACTTGTTTGCGCTATTAACAAACAGTTAACTAACACCTCGAGCTCAATATTAACTGCAAATGATCGGCTTATTACAGTTAGCATGGTAGAAGTTGGGTTTAGGTTTGAGAAGGGTTAGGGTTGTAGAATATGATCACACTTTAAAACTTTTAAAAGGAAAGTTAACATCTTAATAAAATGCAGGAAATAAGCCGACAGTAAAGTTTAAACACAAACCAAGAGATTTTGAAGAAAGCTGAAAACCTGTAACCATTGACTTCCATAGCAGGAAAAACAAATAATGAGGAGAACGATAGTTAGCGGTTGTAGGTATTCTTCAGAACATCTTGTTTAGTGTTCAACAGAGGAAAGAAACTAATAAAGGTTTAAAGCAGGTAAAGGGAGAGTACATGCTGACAGAGCTGTTCATTTTAGCGTGAACTATCCCTCTAACCTGGATTCACCCTCTGCTATATATAGAGCGTGATTCACCAGGTCTGCTGCGCTGTAATGAAGTCAAGTTCACACAGGTGTGCGCAGAATCACACCGACCGCATTTCTGCATCTGCATCTGATGTGTTCTGAAGCATTTATATAGTACAGTTCTGTATATAGTATAGTGTTTACTACAGTGTCAATGAATGCTCCAGCTTACTGTACTAAACTGATAATAGATACTGTAGAATCACCACAACAGATCAATTACTATAGTTGTTGTGTTACCATAGCAACTGTAGAATCACCACAACAGATCAATTACTATAGTTGTTGTGTTACCATAGCAACTGTAGAATTACCACAACAGATCAATGACTATAGTTGTTGCGTTACCATAGCAACTGTAGAATCACCACAACAGATCAATGACTATAGTTGTTGTGTTACCAAAGCAACTGTAGAATCACCACAACAGATCAATTTCTATAGTTATTGTGTTACCATAGCAACTGTAGAATCACCACAACAGATCACTTACTATAGTTTTTACCATAGCAACTGTAGAATCACCACAACAGATCAATTACTATAGTTTTTACCATAGCAACTGTAGAATCACCACAACAGATCAATTACTATAGTTTTTACCATAGCAACTGTAGAATCACCACAACAGATCAATTACTGCAGATGTTGTTACCATAGCAACTGTAGAATCACCACAACAGATCAATTACTATAGTTTTTACCATAGCAACTGTAGAATCACCACAACAGATCAATTACTATAGTTTTTACCATAGCAACTGTAGAATCACCACAACAGATCAATTACTGCAGATGTTGTTACCATAGCAACTGTAGAATCACCACAACAGATCAATTACTATAGTTGTTGTTGTTACCATAGCTACTGTAGAATCACCAGTGCAGGTATATTACTATAGTTGTTGTGTTACCATAGCAACTGTAGAATCTCCACAACAGATCAATTACTGTAGATGTTGTATTACCATATCAACAATATAATTACCGCAGCAGATCAATTACTTAAGTTGTTGTCACCATAGCAACTGTAGAATCACCACAACAGATCAATTCAAGTACTTCATATATACACGGCAATATATGCACATCACATGCATGACATGCAGGTTGATGCTTGGATTTCACATACATAAATGACATATACTATTTACATATTTTGTTCCTTTATACTGTTCAATTTTACATATATGCATGTGTATACGGCCATATATTAGATTAAACTACAGTATTCTTCAAAAACACTATATAATGTCAACAATAAATAACTAGTGTTTTTTCATCCTTCATACCTCATGCAAAATGCAAAAGCGTTTGTTTCAATGACTCGAAACGCAAAGCGCAGTGCATTTACAGAGATGTCATTCAATCCAGCATCAGACATGCACTTCTTCATCATTCTGAAGTTAGGCTATGGAGTTTCACAGCATGCTTTTTCTCTATAAGTCACTCAAACTCATCAAAGCGCCACTGATCGGCTCGCTTGAGTTTTTACGCGTGTTTTACCTTGCTTGTGGTGGAGTTTGTAGGTGTGTGCGCTGCGTAAAAGCGCGGAGACGTGCCACACGAGTCCCAGCAGCCGGAGCGCAGGAGCCCGCATGATTCCCCGGCGCGCGCCTGTGTGTGTGTGTGTGTGCGTATGTTCGCCGCCGCCGCTTCTGCTCGGTGCTCGGTCTGGATGCTCCCCCGGGGCTGAAGCGTGTGTGCCGGCTAAACTTCTCAGCTGCAGCGGCTCCGATCCGCCGACATGCCGCTAAAACTCCCGCAGCCGCTCCGAGAATCGCGGCTCTCTGAGATCAGGGATTTTTTTTCCGGCTCTCCATAAGACACCCCCCTAAACACACACACACACACACACACACAAACACACACACACACACACACACACACACACACTGAGGCTCTTGTCACGCCCCCCAGACTCTACACTCGACCACTGAATCACATCAAATCACATCAGAGCTCGTTTCACTGCAGCTCTGACGAACTGAGCTCCACAGAACCTGCAGAAATTTTCCTTTTCAGAAAGCTGTATTTTTTGCAAATAAACTTTTTATGCATTCGGTTCCCAAACTGAAGAGTGATCAGATCAGGGTAAACACATGCACCTTCACCAGCACTGTTTGCTGCATGCATTTCTGCTTTAATGTCAATAAAACTTGTTTTTAAATATATTTACAACATTAACATGTACTTTTAGAATTTATTTTATTACTGTTTTTATATTTTTACATTTTTACAAAAATATATTGTAGTTTTATTATTATGTTTACTATTTTTACTATTTATAGAGCAAAACTATTTTCTTTTTTTTTAAATAATTTTTACACTTTTAATTAATTTATGATTTACATAAAGCACAAATTGCAAGAAATATTGCCAGCAGACACAGGATGTCAACATTGTTGTAGCCCAGTGTTGTGGGGACGTTGCATTTTGTTTGGAAATAAAAGTCAGGTTGACGTCAGAACATAACGCCAGGCCAACGTAAAACGGCCAACCTAAAATCAACCAAACATCAACGTCTGATGATGTTGTGTGAACGTTACCACTATGACGTCTATCAGACGTTAGATTTTGGTTGCCTTACCTGATGAATAAATATCAGTATCTGACGTCAATATGACGCTGGTTTAAGATGTTGACTCGACGTTGGATTTTGGTCAGTTTCTAAAAACCTAAAATCAACCAAATATCAACTTCATTTCACGTCGATATTCAATGTCAAAATAACGTTGTCTTTAGACGCTGGCTAGACCATTGAATTTTGGTCACCTGACTTCATGGCATATGACGCTGGTTAAAGATGTTGGCTCCACATTGGATTTTGGTCAGTTTCTAACACAACCTAAAATCAACCAAATATCTACGTCTAATGATGTTACAGCTTGACATTGTGTGAACGTTACCACTATGGCGTCTATTAGATGTTGGCTTTTGGTTGCCATACCTGATGAATAAATATCAGTATCTGACATCAATATGACGCGGGTTTAATATGTTAACTCGACATTGGATTTTGGCCTGTTTCTAACAATCTAAAATCAACCAAATATCAACGTCATTTCACGTCGCTATTCAATGTCAAAATAACGTTGTCTTTAGACGCTGGCTAGACCATTGAATTTTGGTCACCTGACATCACAACCTAAATCTAACCTAATATTAACGTCTTATGATGTTGTGTGCCCGATGGGTTTACAAATACTTTTATTTATTTTTTAATATATATTTTTTCTATTTACATATAGCATATATATATATATATATATATATATATATATATATATATATATATATATATATATATATATATATATATATATATATATATATATATATATATATATATATATATATATATATATATATATATATATATATATATATATATATATATATATATATATATATATATATATATATATATATATATATATATATATATATATATATATATAAATATATATATATATATATATATATATATA